CTGCCTCGGGCGTGTCCTTGGCTCAGTGGCAGAGCGCCTGTCTGCCGCGCTGATGTCCCGGGTTCGAATCCTGCCTCGGGCATGTCCTTGGCTCAGTGGCAGAGCGCCCGTCTGCCGCACTGTCGCCCCGGGTTCGAATCCTGCCTCGGGCTTATCCTTGGCTCAGTAGCAGAGCGCCTGTCTGCCGCGCTGATGTCCCGGGTTCGGATCCTGATTGCGGCTTGTCTTTGGCTCAGTGGCAGAGTGCCCGTCTGCCGCGCTGGCGTCCCTGGTTCGGATCCTGCAGCGGGCTGGTTGGTGGCGGAATTTTTTTGACGGCTTGAAAAAAAACAGTACTTTTTTATGCAGAAACCCGGATGTATGTATTTTTGTGAGCAGTATGTTATGCCAGTATTTTTGCGTGTCTGTTTTATGGATTGTTTGTAGCAGCCAGGTAAAAGGTCATGGCGGTAGATCCATAAGAGGTAGCTCACATAAATAGAGCAGATTCTGGGCACTGCACTGACTGGAAATTCGGAGCTCAGAACTGAAAATCCTAGTATAGCCCTTGGAAATCCTACAAGTCTCCGTAATATCACCAATATGAGATATCCATGCTAATAGCTTGGGCCGTCTCGGTATTTCTGGTTTTTGCTTCTGCTTGTTCTTGTAACTTGCAACTATTTGCAGTTTGAACAAGATTTTCGGCAAATTTTGAAAGCTTCGTTGAAACTCTATAATGGTACCGATGCGGTGAGTAGAATATCCGATGATACGGTACTTATGAAGGCAGCATGGGATAAAATAATGATTGAGGTAAGTTGACTTCGTTATTAAGTTGCCAGAATATTTATTAAGTCAAAATTTCCAAATTAAGTATATCGTGGTTTTGATACTGCTTCAGCAATCTCCAAATTTTCCTCTTTGTTTTTTCCTTGCTCCATATAGCCCACTTCTCTGGATATATAATTAGCTTCTCTAGGCTGTCTTAGAGATCCACCAGCTTGAAGTATCGCACTTTCCATTTCCTGTCAGCAATTTTAGGTTTTCAGTGCACATAAAGGAGAGTTTCGTACATTATTTTGCTGTAGGAGGATTTCTTTCGTGTTTTTAAATCTCTGTGGAAGCACATTGTCCACAAAAGTCAGCTTTATTTTGCGTCAAAAACAAAAATCAAAACTTTTTTTACACCTCATTCTCTATAAAAACTGAAGGTAAGCGGGAGTAACTCAAGTAGAAGCATATGGTT